TTCCTGGCCGCAGCCGCGACAATCACATCTTCTTACTTCAGTACTCGACCGCCTGAGAAAGTGAAATCAAATTAGTAAAATTGAGTAAGTGTTTGAAGAATAAACGTAGAGATAGCCATATACCTTGGGTCGTCTCTTTGGATTTGGGGGCAGGAGTTTTTTCAAGTCGGTCGCCAAAATTTTTGTTTATCATGTCTTCGACCGAAGCGCCAAAACAGTGGTGAGTGTATCCCTCCCACCAGTCGCCGAAGGTGTCAGTGCCGAGAGATTCAAGAATAGTTGGTCGGAGATGAAATTTTTTACACCGTTCTAGAAACTATTTCTCAGTATCTCTACACTCCCTCTCTGAGGAACCAGAGAGGCATCATCGGCTTAGGAGGGAGCGGGAGTAAGTAGAGGCACCGGGAAACCTTGGAGGTAACCAAGCTGTCGGGCAGCAAAGTCGGGATGGTATACATTCTAGCTCACTCTGGGATCGTCGCAGCCAAGAGGAAGGTCGCGTGTTATCACGAACGACCCCCAGTTTTGACGAAGACTAGCATCTTCACTTTCACTCCATATTGATGTTGGAAGCCTGATGGAAAAATGGAACTCTTGACAACGACATATCAAAAATTCATCATCTGAAAAGGACATCTAGGCCGAAGATGTATTTGAAGACTTCTTCAGCTGGTGATGAGGCACCGATTGAGAGGCCAACTGAAGGCTGAGCGCTGCAATAAACTGAAAGTTGGGGATCTTTGGCCAAAGTGTGGAAAAATAGACCTGCATCCAGAGTTAGAATACCCAAAGAGGTCTGTTCTAGTGCGGGTCGATCTTGTTGATGGTCGTTTCGACCAGACAGTGCAGGAGGTTGGCGAAGATAGCTAGACTGAGTGCCAGGGAGTGACCATTAGCCAGGGATTCAGCCACCGGCATATTTTCGACCAAGCACATATTTGACTTGGTACAACAGATAAACTTGTTGTACCAGTAAAATAGGAAGGCTTCGTCCTCTCCCTTCTGCAGACTCGCCTCTCCTCGACTAGCAAAATAGAAGATGAGGGTCTTGTAGTTGAAGAAGTTCTTGTGCAACTTATGAACTTCTTAATTTGAAGGATCTTGACCTTCTTGGCTCAGTGTCTCGACGGCCCGTTCGTCGAATAATGCTTAAAGGTCGAGATTCAACAGGCACCCAAAAATGGTGGCATCTACTGGGATTCCAGAGGAAGAAGTCCCAAGGATAGTTGAGATGTCGATGACGGTGGGGTGATAGGGTCGAAGGGAAAGATCATGGTGTTAGTGGCCGAGCACCAAAAACTTAAAGCTGCCATAAGAAGTTCTTTATCCATGGCAATCTCCATGGTTGAAAGTTTAATGGCGTCGAGGATGCCAAGGGCCTCCCATTCTTTGCCGAAGAATCTTTCCATCTGTTCAACCCAGGCTGCCCAGGTCGTGTTGGTCGAAGGCCCGGCTCCTTGGGGCTTCGTCAAGCACCACTTCGACCAATCAAACCCTTACAGCAAGGGTGTCAGGCAGTGGTCTTTGAGGAGGTTGGTGATGGACGATGGCACTGCATCCTTGAAAAGTGGTCCCAGGATTTGATAAGTGGCGTTTAAATCATTCTCGAAGTGTAGAGTCTTGATGGCGCTCCGGTCGATGAAGTCCTTGCACTTGTTGCATTCGCTGAAAAGTTGGAGATGAAGGAAGCCATTGATGAAGACTCGAGGATATCTGGGTTAAGAGCTTGAGGTTTTCTGGGATTTTGAAAGCAAAATGGCAAGAAAGTTTCAAGGGTTTTGGAAAGCGTAAAGTACAAATGGAAAGGATTCAGGTATTTATAAGCATTTTGGAAGGAAGGTTAAATGTTTGATTTTCAAAATTGGGGATAGAATCGAGCAGGAAAGTTGCTAATCATTGTGTATATTTGGAGAATCCAAGTGAAAAGATCGAGGTTTTCGTGGTTTGAGGTTACACGATTGCGTGTTGCGGTAAATTTAATGTAAAAGAGATGTTTCAGCTATCGCACGTTTTCAAGGGTTATTATTAAAGGTTGCTAGGTTAACCAAGGGACCAACACGTGGCAGGATGGTTGGGAGAATCGAGATCGTGAGATCATGTCTCATAAATACGCATGGTGGTATTTCTTGAAAGGATTCAATGTTCGTTTTAGGTCGGTTTCGCTTCTTCAAGGCTGAGGCTCAAACCAAGGAATGTAGGTCGACAACTTCAAAAGTGAGGGGCAATGTTTGGGCTTAAAATAATGGTTAAGGCTGAGTTTAGAATTGTTCTTGGCCCGGAAGCTTTGCTCAGGGGTCGGCCATGTCCTATCAGGATGGGGTAGTTGAATCCTGATACAATAAGGAGTCTCGACAGGACGAGGATGCTGAAACTTGGGAATGAATATGGCCTGATAAGGGGTTGAGTTCAAAGTCCTAATAGGAGTAGGACTAGCTGAGATAAGATTGGATCGGGGTAAGGAGTCCTGATCCGAGTATAGTTTTGATTTGATCAGAAGCAGGTTTGCTACTATAAATAGAGGGAGAAGTGTATTATTCACGCCCCCTCCAATTCAACACACAAATTGCCCTGTGCAAACTCTCTCAACAACCTTAAGATTTTTAGTTTCTTTTTCTGCCAACATATCTTCAGTTTGGATAAACAGCACTGTGAAGGCAACCAGTGATACCTTCAGTTTGGATAAACAACACTATCGCCATAGAACTAGCCGACCGTGGAACACCTTCAGTTTGGATAAATAGCACTACGTCGAGGCCGATTGGTTATCTATCTAAGTCTCGATCGAGAAAGACTTTCAGGTCTTTATTGGCAGAGGTCATCTCATTAGCCTTTTCAGCGAGGTGAGGTGTTATAGTTTACTAGGGCTCAACACATTTTACGTCGAGTTGTTTTATGATTGGATACTCATAAGTAAGCTTTAGAGTTCTGCATTCTGACGGCCGAACCACATTTACCATTAAAACGTATATCTGTTTTGAGTATCTGTGCCCTTATACCCTTACAAATATAATCACTGTGACCGAATCCAGCACCGATGATTTATGAACTTCGCAAAATTAGTAGCCTTGTCTTCAGGCTCTAGCACCCAAAGGTCGAGACGTGTTCCTTCCTTGGCCGCAGTCGCAGGATCGAGAAGTCAACCTCGCGCTCAACGCAACATCAACACATTTTACTCCTCGGCCGACAAGTTGGCACGCCCCGCATCAACTGAAGGACGTAATTAGCTCACTAGTTACTCGGCCTGTGCGCCACATAGGCTTGGTAGTTTTTAGGGTCAACAGCTACTTATACAGATCATCTGAGAGTCCAGAGGTCAAGATTGACCACTTCAAAGTTCAAACCGGCTCTTGGAAGTTCGTCTTTGACCCACTCCAAGTTCTTTATTGAGTAATTAGATTTACTCAAACCGGTCCATATTTAATTTTATTCTTATTTGTTTTAAGATTATACATTCATGAGAATTGATCCTAAAGCGACATGATTTAATAAATTAGTGGGATTAGTTTCATTTGACAAATAATTAAGTAAATCAACTTAGAGTTGACTTTAATAAAAAAATAAATCCTGACTAAAAAATCATAAACAAAAAGCTAAGAATTGATTTATATGGATGGAAAATCCAGAATAAAATATGGGAAGCCACCATTTTTTTTTGGGAAACATTCTATTTATGCTTAATTTATTACCTAAAAAAAAAGAATAAATTAGGAAAATAAAAATAGATGTGGAATCTTCCTTACGCATCAAAATATAGATATTATTAAACTCGAATAAAAACATTTACATACGAAGTCAAAATGTTAAACAATCATTTGGCTAGTTTAACCCTATAAAAATAATCAAAGATGTAGGATTCTAAGACCATCTCTAACAGAACGAGGGCCAGAAGGTTCGTTTTAACCCTCTGGCCCTCTAAGATATTAATATTTTAATGAACAATACAGGGATTTATTTACCTCCATCTTCAACCGAGTGCCAAATGGCCATAGAGCTCGTTTTAGCCATGCCACAAAAAACCATCTCCAATCGAGGGGCAAATGGTCATAGGGTCAAACATAATTTATTATTTAAATTTAAAAACTACAACAACTTAAATTTAAAAACTACAAACGTATGTTTAAAAACTACAACTTAAATTTAAAAACTACAAATTAAATTTAAAAACTACGAAAACTTAAATTTGATGGAGAGTCCGATGACAACCAAGAGGATCCAAATAAGTCAAGAAGGGCTCGTGCAAAAATATATGATGGACCTAATTTGCCTTTCAATCCAAGAACTGGTAGTACCTCTATAAATGAGTACATAATGCGCTATAGATGATACGTTCCCGTGCCACAAACAAGTACCTACAATAGGATCTTGTTGCACATCTTTGGTCCAAAGGAAGCATGGAGTAGGCGTTTAAGTTTTATGTTGTTAAAAGTTTTTAAAAATTTTGTTTAAGTTTCATGTTGTTAAATGTTTTTTTATGTTGTATAATTTTTACTTTGGTTAATGTTATTTAATGTTGTTTCATATTGTTTAATGTTGTTTCATAGTACTTAATTTAATTTAATGTTGTATAATGGCTTAGGAAGTTATAGGAAAAAAAATAGAATTTAAAAAAAATGTGAAACAAATTTTGTAAAATAGAAGTTATAGGAAAAAAATAAATTTAAAAAAATATGAAACAAATGTTGTGAAATAGAAGTTATAGGAAGTTATAGAAGAAAAAAAAGAATTTAAAAAATGAAGTTATAGGAAAAAAAATTTGTTAAAAAAAAACATATAAATTGAAACTATAAAAAAAAATAAAAAATAACGGCTAACTGGTTGCATTTGAATTTTGGCCTAGAATTCCTATAGAATATAACCGACATGAATATATTTATATTAAATATATTCTTATCAGTTATATCTGACACACCCTGACCGATGTCAAGGCATGCTGGCCATCACGTGAGAGTGACGTAGCCATGTGCACAATGTGGAAGCGATAAATATAGCAAACATACGAATAATTAAAAAACCATATTACTAGTGTGCACTTCAAAACTGAAAGTGGTAGGAGTTAAGTACAACAGTAATACTCCTAATCAGAGCATAAAGTCTAGGTGCAGTCCAGTAGGATAAGTACTAGTTATACAATACCAGGAATGTCCTACTATTATAAGGATAAGTCAGAACTGCCAACGTCCTCTCTAGCCACCAACAGCAATCTTACTTAAAACCTGGAGGGGCGCAAAACAGAAAACGTGAGTGGGCAAAAACAAATGTTTTACAAAATCATTTCATTTATCAACATATCTAACCCCTCGCTGTAAAACATATATTATTTTCCTAGAATCAAGATATAAGCATATACACATATATAAATATTTGACATCATAACCATTCAATTCATGCTTCACATAATTATTTTGATATGTATGCCATGCCAAAATATAATAAGTAACAATCCAGGTAATAATGATTTTATAGAAGTATGACATGCTAGCCGGAACTCCCGAGTAGTCTGTACGACTGAATTCATAGCTCAAACTCAATCTAGCCGGAGTCACTACTATGACCTATACGGCAATATACTGCACATAAGTCGGAACCACTAAAAAGGGTCTTACGACAAGGTTGGGTGAGATACAATTATGCTCAATTCTACTTTCTCAATACTAGCTGTGTGATAATACGTTAGTCACCTACGAGTTGGAACCATCTATAGTGGTATGTACGACAAGATTGTGCACCTAAATTGGATCCAATGTGAGCATATGGTGCGGGAGGTGACATAATATACAGGCCTGTGCCAACTCTCTCTGGCTAAATTGCAATCACCCGAGGTGCAGGTTTATGAGCTTATCATTTCTTAGTCACATCTCATATATCCAACCAAACATGTTCATCATGCTACTCAATTCTTCAAATAAACTTATATCTCAATTATTTCATGTCATATATTGTATGGCTGCACCTAACATTTTGTTAGGCTGCCTACGTACCCTAAACAGGGATCAAGCCGTTCGTAGTTCACATATACTAAACATAACTTACCTGTACTTACATGTGCCTCCACAGCACCACAATTATATATATATAAGCAACCATGAAATGGATATTCAAAATATAATGGCATTTGGCATATTATTTCAAAGCATATTTTCATTTAAAACACATTTCTGGGAATTATATCAAGTATATAATTATATACTAAAAACAAAAGGCCACTCACTGATAAGTTGAAGGGTCGTAGCCCCCGATTTGCCCATGGATATGCTCGTCCTCGGGATAAGTCTCACCTATGTGCGAATAAACTATAAAAATGTTATTTAAAACACATAGGCAAAACTAGCTAATAACTTCTCATACATTGCTCAATTTGGGTATATGAATATGTCACAGTGACCTACTTGACGTCATGGACGTCGAGATATTTTTAAAATAATTTTTCATCGTCGCACGCGCCCCCACGCGCCGGGAGGGGCACGGTGCCACGCGCCCCCATGCGCGTCATCCCCTACCTCCAGACGCCGGAAAATCTCGTCGGCGCCGGAAACTGGGCAAACCTATAAATGCTGATTTTTCACTCATTTCTACACCGTTTTCCAAGAAATTTTTACCAAAACTTCACAAATTTCGAGAGGAAGAAGGCTATACCTTTTAAAACTTCCAAATCCTTCGAAAACTCGTCGGGATAATTTCACCAAAATCGGCCACCTTCGAACTAGTGATAGGAGCATATTTATGCGACTTAGTATGTTTGTTTTCGTGCATTTATGTTCTTAGTTCTTAGTTATGTTAGTAGTTTAAGCCATTTTTGTGTGTTTGTAGGTTCTTTGGGCCAAGGATGCAAGAAGGTGCATTTTGGAGCACTTTGGAGCATTTTTGGGCCAAGATTGGATGGTGCAAACATGGAGACATCAGGATGGACGAATTTGATGATTCAATGGGCTAGAAATCTACATGTGTGTGTGCAAAGTGTTGGCCTACAACTTCAAACATCATAGCTGCCATGTGATGGCAGAAAATGTGTTTATTGCTAGCTAAATGGATGAAGAACATGCATGTGCAAGTATAAACACCACATGGGCAGCAAGAAGGAAAGAAAACAGCAACACACACACCACATGGGCAGCAAGGAATCAGAAAATTAAAGCATGGAAGAGTGGGAAGTGATGATGACAACACAAACACACACACACGGCAATGGAATGGAGTTGGCAGATTTCTACAACTTTGGTAGTGAATGGACAGCAAGGAATGGCAGAAATTGGACCACTATGAGGTGGATTTCTGGTTGGTCTTCCACTTATAACTTTGGGTGGCTTTGGAATGATTGTTTCTAGGTGGAAAGAGCACAAAAACAGCACACACACATGCAAAAACAAAGCTGGCAGCATCCTTTCTTCTTTGCCGTGAGTTGTCATGTCCATTGCCTTGAAATTCTTTTCATTTTCAACCTCTATATAAACACCATTCAGCCTTCAAGGAAGACACACAGAAATTCATACACATTTCCATTAGTTCCAAGGCTTGCAAAGAAGGAGGAGTGCTTGGAGTTGTGCTAGCCATTCCATTGGAGTTGTTGGAGCATTCTAGGTGTATTCTACTTTGTTTCTCTATGTTTAATATCAATTGTTTTTGTTTAATTGCAAGTATGAGGAACTAAACCCTTTAACTAGGGGGTGATTCGAAACTATGTTTATGCTTGCAATATGAATTGATTACCTTTGGTTGGAATTTTATAAGTTGTGGATTCAATTTGTTTAACCATTTGATTGATAACTTATTTATGTATGTTTATTGAGAGTGCACGCTTAATTTTCATGCATAAATATGACGCTAGAATATAAGTGAGTTTCACCTAATCGTTATGAACTTATATTCACAAGTAGTGGAGGTTGCTTATAAACAATCGCGTTAAATGAATTCTTGGCACTAGTTTCATGCTTTTCATAGTAACGAATGCCTCGTCAACACTTATAGTTTTCATGATGCTTAATGATCTTTGATTGTATCTTTATTGTGCTTTTCACGTAAAGGACTTTTGGAGAATGTTGTGAATTGCGTTGCGCAAACCCATCCAATTCATTAACTTAAGGAGAACTTGACGGTTAATTTAAGCAGACCTAATTAACCTAGGGTGTTGAGTTTCATAATTTATCGAAAGACCAACTGAGAATTGATCTTGTATTGCAAGTGTGACATGTGTGGAGAAGAACCCCTTAAGCTATTCCATCATCCATATTTTTCATCGCATTCATATTTACATTTTGCCCTTAATTATAATCTGTCCATTTAATTTAATCTCGTCAAAAACAACTCAATTCCCCCTCCCCATATTTTGTTAAAGTCTTAGTTGTTCAAATCTATCTTATTTTATGCTTTTAAGTATTTGGAGTCTTTTGAACTTGTTTTGAGTCTTTTGGTTTGTCTTAGTGTTTTAAAAGTTAGTTTTATTTATTTGAGTCAAGTGTTTAGCACCCCTAGTTAATCCCCGGTTAGAACGATCCCTACTTACATACTTTACTACAATTGTCAAAAAAGAGGGTTTAATTTGTGTGTCAAGTAATTTTACGCATCAACTAGGGCTTCCCGACGTCCAAAATTTCCAAACGAATGTCCCTGAGCTTCGTGGAAACCTCCTAGAGCTCACTGTGAGCTTGGATTGTCCTAAAAACCAACCATTACAAAGTTCGTGAACAGTGCTCAATTCGAAGTTTGATATTTCGACGTGAAATCGAAAGGTTTCTTACCTGAAAATGATACCCCTGGACTCGCCTCACCACGAGGAATCCAATGGTACCTTCAACACCTTCGATCTGTGAAAATTTAAGGGTCTTTGGGTGTGGTCCGTACGTGAGGGAAGAGAGAGAGAGTCCTACGAAAGAGAGAGGTACAGGATAGGAGAGAGAGAGAGAGATAGGGATTTGTGTGGTCCAAATAGCCACCAACCAAAACTAAGAAGAATCTTAGTTCTAATTGGATTCCAAAAATCCCAAAATTAAACCAAACATAACTCACACCCCAAATAACGTTCGAGAGTAATTCAGTCATTTCACATTTCCCGATGAAAATCTCGGGACGGGCTGTCAAAATATCCGACAGGATTGGGAGTTTGGCCTTTTCAGATTCTGTATGGTCTAAATGGCCCTCAAATGAAGGTCAGCCTCACACTTCCACCCTCATAAAGCATAATGTACCCCTAACCATGGATTAAAATATCGATAATATCGGCGATATTTCGCCGATATTATCGTTTTGGTGAGAGTCCGATATTTTTACACCTATCCACTTGATTATCGTCAATATATCGAGATAATATCGATAATATCGATATTACCGATATTATCTCGATATATTGGGCTGGGAGACGGAGACTCCTCGGAGGCGCCACCCTGAGCGCAGATCCGAAGGCCAGAGCGGTGACGGCGGTGGCGACGAGGGAGGTTGGGATGGGAGCTGGAGACTCCTCGGAGGCGCCACCCTGAGCGCAGATCCGAAGGCCAGAGCGGTGACGGCGGTGGCGACGAGGGTGGATACGAACGAGGGGGAGATGGATGCGGCGGGGGAGGTTGGGATGGGAGCCGGAGACTCCTGGGAGGCGTCGATGGCGGAGAGGACGGCGAAGAGGACCGCCATGAGAGCGACGACGGAGGATGCCTTTGAGACTGCCATTGTTGATAGGGTTTGGACCTCTCTATTCGGGAATCTAAAAGGGCAAGGAAAGTTGCTCGTTCGGGAATCTAGGGTTCTTGAAGACTCAGAGAGACTGAAAGCACAAAGTGGGCGCAAGTTGGATTTGAGATCCAATTTTGAGGTTCTGAAAGTGAAAGGGCGAAGAAGAACGAAGATGAGGGAAGAGAGAGAGAGAGAGAGAGAGTAAAAGATTCAATTTTGGGTTTCTGAAAGGTCAAAAGTTGGTGATGGGGGTAAGGTGGACAGCTATTTACATCAGATGGGTTATTATGAAAACCACCCACTTGCATGGGCGTGGGATTTTTATATTTTAAAAGTTTGGGAGGTATATTATATTATTATATGTATATAAATGTTATATAAATTATAAATTATTAGATTTTTTTTTTCTTAGGCAAGCATATTAGATATGTACATAAAACATTCACATATGTATGTTCTTTTATCAGAAATAACATATTATTCAATAATTATTTACATCTGATATAGTAAATTTAATTAATTCATATAATATATAAGAAATTTACCTAAATCCGCCTAGACCGCCTAGGCGCCCGCCTAGATCCCACCTAGCCACCTAGGCGCTAGGCGCCAGCCCACCGCCCGACTAGCGCTTAGCGTTTTTTAGAACCTTGGTATTTATAGCTGGGGTTTTTTGTGGGTAGTGGCGGGCAGGTCGGGCAGCTGCCCGTTAGAAACAGGCTGGCCAATTGTTATTGGTTCGGCTCAACAGCTCACATTGCTTAATCCCTTGCTTAAATGAGTGTAAAATATTGTACTAATTCATTATATATAAATGATTATGATGTGTTTAAACTTCTTTCATTAATTACTACATATTTTCTACACTCACAATGTTTGCCAGCTCGCTATATAATCAACTTAAATCAGTTAAATCCATCATGCAATGCATTTCCTTCCAATTTTTTTGTGATAAACTAATAGATAATTGACTAAATAAACATCCTGCAAAGTTTCAATAAAAATTTCCAAGTTTTTCTTACAATTTCCGTGGTTTCCATGTAATTTTTATCGATATCGATATTATCCCGATATTTCCATCGATATTTCCGTGTTTTCGGACTACCGATATTACCGATATTTTCTTCCTTGCCCCTAACCACTGAATTAACCGGCACTCGGAATTCGGAAATGACATTAGTCACATACGTAACATCTACACCTACAAATATCGGCCCCACGGACTTCCAAAATTAATCATTTCCCTAACTATTTAATTATTTAAATTATAAGTTTTGCTGAATTGCAGATAACGCTTTATTAAAAAAAATATATTCATATACGGTGGTGTAAGTTATATTAGCAATGATTGTTTTTTCCTAACAAATATCTATTTAAGTCATTAATGAAATCGTTTTCCCCTAACAGCTATCTATTTAAGTTGCTAATGGAGTCGCTTTACTAAAAAAAGTTTTGCTAGACTGAAAATATCGACGAAAACTAAAAATAGCAACGACAAAAGTAGACTAAGGTAGTTTTGGAACCAAAGTACACACCTGTGCAAAGATAGATATTCTTTTGCATGAAAAATAAGGAGAGGCAAAGAGTCTATAAGAGTTTCATGTTTAAAGAATTTCCTTGGATTCACGTATTGATTTTTATTCTCCAACATCCACGTTCCACGTGGACTAAACTACTCCGAGTTTGACTGTTCCAATTGCGTTTAAAGACTTGCGAGACTGGAAGTTGTCAAAAAAATACAACCCCACATACGCCAACCCACCCACCAAGAAGTCAAGTACCCTAATCGTTCGCCACGACCGCCCCTCAATTTTTGAATAATTTCCGTATCGTGAGGACCATACAAGTTTAAAGGTACCTATTTCAGGTAAAAACTCGTTCGATATCACGTTGAAAATTCAAGCTCAGAGTTGAGCACTATTCACGAACTTTTAAATGGTTATGTTTTAGGACAATCCAAGCTTGTAGGAAGCTTAGTGAGGTCCCAAGGAAGCTCGGAGTGTTTCGTTTGAAAGTTTTGGACGTCGAAATCGTGTGGACGAAGTTTGGCCGGTTTTCTTGGAATTCTCCGGTGAGATTCCGTGACTTTTAGAACTTTAAATTAGTATGATCGTGTTCTACAAGTTAAGAGCTTCATTTTGGTATAAAATATGTGAAAATGGTGCAAAAACGAGTGAGAAATGGGCAGTTGCAGGTTTGCCCAGAATCCGTCGCCGGTGACACAGTTCCGGTGTCTGGAGGTTGAAGACGATGCACGTGGGCCGCGGGTGAGGCCGTGCCCTCCCCGGAGCGTGGGGGCGTATGAGCTACCTAAAAATTTATCTAAAAATATCACAATACTCGTGAGGTTGTGTAAGTCACGTTGGTAGATTTAAATACCAAAATTGAGCAATGTATGAGAAGTTATTAGCTAGTTTTGTATATGTGCTTTAAAATAACGTTTTTATAGTTAATTCGTATATAGGTGAGACTTATCTCGAGGACGAGTGTATCCACGGGCGACTCGGGGGCTACGACCTTTCGACATACTAGTGAGTGGGCTTTTGTTTTCAGTATATACTTATACACTTGATATATTTCCCAGAAATGCATTTTTTAAGAAAAGTATGCTTAGAAATAATATGCCAATGCTTCTATATTTTGAATATGCATTACATGGTTGCATATATATATGAATGTGGTGCTGTGGAGGCACAGGTAAGTTCAGGTAAGCTATGTTTGGTTGTGTGAGTCATCGATGATATGATATGTGATATGTGATATGTGATTAAGTAATGTTGAGCTCATAAAGCTGCACCTAGGGTGATTGTGAATTAGCTAGAGATATGAATTATAGGACTGTTTATTTACGTCACCTCCCGCACTATATGCTCATATTGGATCAAATTTAAGTGCACAGTCTTGTCGTACAGACTTTATTCATGGTTCTGACTCGTAGGTGACTAGCGATTTATCACCCAGCTATTATGAGAGAATAGAGTTAAGCATAATTATATTACACCCAACCTTGTCGTACAGACCCTGTTTAGGGGTTCCGACTTATGTGCAGTACATTGCCGTATAGGTCATAGTAGTGACTCGGGCCAAATTGAGTTTGAGCTATGAATTCAACTGTACAGACTACCACAGAAGTTCCGGCTAATATATCATATTTCTATGAAATTATTATTACCTAGATTGTTTACTTTGTTATATTTTGGCATGACATACGTATGAATATGATTATGTGAAGCATAAACTGAATTGATATGATTTCAGATACATATATGTATATGCTTATATCTTGATTCTAGGAAAATAATACATGTTTTATAGCAAGAGGTTAGTATATTGATAAATGAAATGATTTTGTAAAATATTTGTTTTTACCCACTCACGTTTTCTGTTTTGCGTCATTCCAGGTTCTAAGTAAGCTTGTTGTCGATGGCTCGGGACCGTCGGCAGTTCTGACCTATTTGATTAATAGTAGGATATTTCTGGTACTGTGTAACTAGTACTTGTCCTACTGGACTGCACCTAGACTTTTTATGTTTTGATTAGGAATGTTTACGATTGTAACTAACTCCTATCACTCCCTGCTAATAGTGCACTATATTAATGTGGTTTTTAATTATTCGTATATTTGCTATCTTTATTGCTTCTGCACTGTGCACATGGCTACGTCACTCTCACGTGACGGCCAGCATGCCTTGACCTCGGTCGGGTGTGTCAGTATATCTCTTCACATTTTTCATCAATTATCTCCAACAATTCAATTATTACAGTAAAATGTAAAAATAAAATAAATATCATCATAAATCAATCAAATCCAAAGAAAGAGCATAATAGAAATAAAATTAATGAACACGCAAATCACAATCACTGAATTTGCCAACTTTGCAATACATAATCCTAAATTGCATTCTAATTATTACCATTGCAAGATCAAAATTCCTTATGGATTCTCACGTTGCAAAAATAAATTAAAATAAAAAAGAAAGAAATAAAAGTAATAAAATTTATTGTTTTTTTAATGCTAATTTAATTATTTTTGTTTTCTAAAGAAAATAATATGATTAACCTCTGTACACAGGCGACCGCTCGGAAAAGATCTTTGAAATTTTGGAGTGCCGGAAGGCCTTGATCGGGCTCGGGAAATACCGTCCCCTGCCTTTCGCCGGCGGTCTCTCACCTCCGACGCCACCGGATTTTGATGACATCATCGGTACGGCCACCGACCTCGATTTCCTCATCATCGTCCTCCTCATCGCAGCATCTGCGTCTTCTTCCTCCTCTTGAATTTCGCTCTCCACTTTCTTCTCCGCCGTCGTCTCGTCTTCTCCATTATTAACCTCGCTTGTCTTGCTCCTGCGGGACGACCGGAATACCGACGACCAAAACGACGGTGTTTTAGTCCGTCCGACGCTTTGGGGTTCGCTCCGGTCGCTGACAAAGTCAAAGTCTGTGTGTCTGAAAGCACCGCCGAAAAACTTCGAGGTGGAGCGCAGAAATGGGGCCGCTACCGATCGGGACCGCCGGAACGAGGGCTCGCTCTCGAGAAGCTTCGAGACTCGGACGCCATCGCCGGCGGGGAAGCGAAAGGACGAAGACGAAGACGAGGAAGACGACGTCGTAGCGCAGCAACCGCAGGGGCGGACGTTAGCGCAGTCGGGGCAGAGAATGACGAGGCGCTCGCGGAGGCAGACGTGGCAGATTCCGCTTTTGCGGCGTTTGGAAGGGTGTTTTGGACATTTCCAGACCTCCTCCTCGTCGACGTAAACCGCCTCCATTTCTGGCTGTGGAGTCGTTGGTTGTTCGTCGCTTTGTTTTTCCCTCTCGTTTGTGCGTTGTTTGGTTTTTTCTTCTGTGGCTACTGGCTGAGGATTATAAAATATGTTGGGTTTGATGTTTTAGGGGGGTGGGGCCACAACTTAACCGCGGTTAATATTTCAACCATGGTTAAGGTAATTTAGGTTTTGGTGCGTCGGCTGGTAAACCTTGGCGGACGGAACGGAACCAGTCGAGTAGAGCGAAGTGGATGTCTTGAATGGGCGTCTCTCTGTTGTAAAGCTTGCCCCTCTACTTTTGACCTATCTACGGAAATGCCATGCTACAGTTCACACGTGCAATATGGGGTAATGGACGATGGGCTCCAAGGGAGAAAAGGTGAATTGATTATTTGTAAAGTAAGCATCTTTATAGATGTTTCTTTGACATTTTGGTCAAATTACTTCATAAATTAAAAAGTAAGGCAAAGTGTAACTAGAAATTCTAACCAACGAGTCACTGATCTAATTGACTTTTTAAAACAACCAAGTCAAATTATCCCATCTTTTGTACCTTAATCTATGAATTTTGATCCTCGTGTAAAAGAGTTTAAGCAAACATTTTAAAAAATCATGTACAACGCAGGTACCAGATTCCATGGTAGCGTAGAGAAATGATTTTTTTAACAAACGCTTTTAGTGAGAATCGAACCTATTACCTTTTACTTACAAATAAAAAGGAATACTATTAGACCGTAGTACTAACTGGCAACGTAAAGAAATTATTAAACTATGCTAGATTAGCAATTTTGGATCTACTAAAATAATGGGCATGAAGCTGCAGCAATTCGGGAAGCTTTGCAGTTTTGCATTGAGCATGGAGTTGACAACGTGATTATTGAATCGGATGCAAAGGTATTCAAATGATTAGAAAGGAATTGACTCATGATTACAGCCTTGAATGCATCCTTGGTGACATTGAGACTCTAGCGCGAAGTTTGAGGTCGATGACGTTTAACTTTGTGTCTAGAGAGGGCAATCGTGCTGCTCACTTAATGGCAAAGTTTGTGTTTAAAGAGGGTTATTCCTTTGTATGAGACTGTATTGGCCCTAAGCTATTGTTTAATATTTTATTGTAAGATGTAAACCTTTTATTTGATTATAATGAAGTTCATCTTTCGGATGATGATGATGATGATGATGATGATGATGATGATGATGATGATGATGATGATGATGATGATGATGATGATGATGATGATGATGATGATGATGATGATGATATTATTATTATTATTATTATTATTATTAAGCAAGTGGGCTTTTATATGGTGGAAATGAGTTGAGTCATTGCACGACGGCAAGGGTTAGAACCCCGTCTGTGGATAATCTAACAAAATCTATGATTTGACAAAAATAAAACATTGGCATGAAATCTGGGGATTCAGGAACTGTAATTTCTTCAACTCACGGTGATGGTACAAGCATTATATCTGCATCTTTTTTAGACTTACAAAATAAAATAAAATGTCACTGTTGACCCTAAAAACTACCACGCCTACGTGGCGTGCAGGCCGAGTAATCTATGAGCTAACTACGTCCTTCGGTGAATGCGGGGGGTGCCAACTCGTCCGCCGAGCTCGGCCGAGGAGTAAAATTTGTTGATGTTGCATTGGGTGCGCGGCTGACTTCTGCGTCTTGCGATTGCGGCCGAGGAAAGAACACGTCTCGACCTCTTGGGTTCTCGAACCTGAAGACAAGGCTACTATTCTTACGAAGTTCACGAATCATCGTCGTCGGATTCAGTCACAGTGATGGTATTCGTCAGAGTAAACTCACGTCGAATCGACAACAAAGTGTAAGGACACAAATACTCAAAGCGGATATAAGTCTTAATAATGAACGTGGTTCGACCGTTTGAATGCCGAACTCTAAATCCCACTTGAGATTATCCAGTCATAAAATAACTCGCCGTGCAATGCACCGAGCTCAGTAAGCTGTAACACCTCACTTCATCGAGAAGGTTAATGAGATGACCTCGATCAATAAGGATTCGGAAACCCTTCTCGACCAAGACTTGGATAGGTAACCAATCGTCCTCGCAGCAGTGCTGTTGATGCCAACGGAAGATGCTGCGAAATTGGCTGATTCTACGGCGACAGAGCTATCTATGCCGACTGAAGATATCACCGGTTGCTTTCACAGTGCTGTTGATGCCAACGAAAGATGTGTCAACGAAAAGAGAAAATAAAAAATCTCAAAGTTGTTGAGAGAGTTTGCGCAGGGCAGTTGTGTGTTGAATTAGCAGGCTTGAACAATGCACAACCTCTTCTATTTATAGCATCAGATACTTCCTAAGTAGAGTTAATCCGAGTAGTTAAAACCCTACTTGGATTAGGATTTCTTCTTCTAATCAAACACCATCTCGAGTACTCCTACTCCCATCAGGATTTTGGACCTAACCTTTGTATCAGGCCGTATTCAAAAAGTGTCTCAACCTCCTCATCTCACCGGGACTCCTTATCACACCAGGATTTCTGTTAAACGCAGAATTTACCACGCCTCTTCCTTATCCAGGCCGTTCCTTTTCCCAATGGGGCTCGACCGACTCTAATTAAGCGGCCCATGAACAAGACGACCCTTAACAATAAATCCTTCCGGGCCGAAAATGATTCCACACTCATCCCAAACTAAATATTTTGGGCCCAAACATTGCCCCCTCGCTTCTGAGGTCTTTGACCTAAATTCTCTAGTCGAGCTCCGACCTTGAAGAAGCGAAACTAATACTCAGAATCCAAATACTCTATTTCCAAGGTGCATTTATTGAACACGATTGCACGATCTTGATCCTGTTGACCAAAACACCACGTGGCATCCTTTAACACGGCTAATCCCTAATAATGACATTTAAAGCGTGCGGCTCCCTGAACCATCATACCATCATGACCTTGTTGCTGAGCACAACCATGCCACCTTGATCCGCTAACCATTCAACATCGTGCAGACGCCAAAACGTCTTTCACCATAATCTAGCCACTACACGCAATCGTGCGCCCCCAAAAACATGAAACCCTCGGTCTTCTCAACTGGATTATCTGAATGTTCATAATGATTAGCGAATTCTTCGATCGATTTTACCTTTCATTTTGAATTTCAAACGATTGCCCTTCTTTCCACAATTCTATAAATACCGAAATTCTCTCATTTGTACTTTACGCTTTCAAATTCTCTGAAATTTCTTGCCATCACTCTCCAGTGAATCCCCTTCTTCCAGATCTTTATCTTCAAACACCCCAACCCAGAAAACTCATTTCGTGTCGCATCTTCAACCCACTTACAATGGCCTCCTTCATCTCCAAGCTTTCCAAGGAATGTGACCAATGCCAGAAAATTATTGATCGAAGTTTGATCAAAACCATACGTTTTGAAAGTGACATGAGCACCCCTCATCAAATCCTGCGTCCTCTCTTCAAAGCGGCAGTACCACCAACCATCACTGGACTTCTCAAAGAGCATTGCCTATCACCTTTGCTGCAAGGGTTTGAATGGTCGAAGTGGGACCTGGCAAGGCCTCAAGGTTCATGGCCCTCGACCACTACAGCCTGGGCAGCTTGGGTTGTACGAATGGAAAAACTCTTCGGCGAGCAATGGAAAGCCCTAGGCATATACGACGCCATTCACCTCTCATCCATAGAAGTCATCCTGGACAAAGAGCTCCTCCTAGCGGCCTTATGCTTCTGATGTTCGGCCACCAACACCATGGTCTTCCCTCTTGGCCCAATTGGTCCCACCATCATTGACATTACTGCTATCTTGGGGACTTCCCCAACTGGAATCCCAATCGACGCTGCCCTCTCTGGGTACCCGTCGAACCTTGACCTGAAGACGTTTTTCGAAAAACGGGCCCTTGAGACACTGAGCGGTGAAGGCCAAGCACCCTCGAAAGAAGAGGTTCACAAACTTCACAAGAACTTCTTCAACTATAACACCCTCTATCTCCATTTTGCCCGCCAAGGAGAAAAGGCTCTGCGAGAAGAGGAACACGAGGCTTTCCTCTTCTATTGGTACAACAAATTTATATGTTGTACCAAATCCAATAAGTGTCTGGTCGAGAACATGCTAGTGCCCGAAGCCCTAGCTAGCGGTCACACTTTGGCACTCAGCCCGGCCATTCTCGCCCATCTCCTACGCTGCTTGGCCAAGATGACCTTAGATAAGGTTGACCCACACTAGAATGGTCCCCTCTAGGACTTCCAACTCTGGCTGCAAGTCTACTTCGCCCCTATTCGGCCAACAATTTCTGATTTCTCACCCACGGAAGCGATCGGCCCTTAGCTGGCTTCTCGGCCAACACCCTTTCACCAAGCTGAAGAGGTGTTCAGATACTTTTTCGCTCTCGACGATCTTTCTAACGAAGAGTTCTTGATCTGTTATCGTCGAGAATACCCTTCGTCAATCAGGCTTCCTCCATTAGCGTGGGGCGCAGATGAAGATGTTGACCTTCATCAATCCTGGGGGTCTTTCGTGCTTACCCGCGACCTGCCTCTCGGCTGTGATGGTCGCCGAGCGGGTTGGGAAGTGTATCATCCCAACTTCCTCACTCGGCAGCTTAGCTACCTCCAAGGTTGCTCGGTCCCCCTTCTCTCCTCACGATCCGTCCTAAGCCGCGGACGCGAACCTGGTTCTTTAGAGAAGGAATGCAAGGACGCTAAAAAGGAGTTCCATGAGCGATGCCAAAAATTCCGCCTTCAACCGGTCACTCTAGAATCTCTTAGCACCGATACCTTCGGCGATTGGTGGGAAGAATACACTCATAGCTTCTTCAGCGCACCGGTCGAAGGTGTCATTAATAAGATCTTCGGCGATCGTCCCCAAAAGGCTCCTGCTCCCCAACCTAAAGAGGCTACCCATGATATATAGCTTCCTTTATATATTTAGATATATATATATCCTTATTGTTATTGACTTGGCTTTAAATTCTCAGCCAGCCGAGCGTCGAAAAAGGTAGAAACGGTGGCTGTAATTACAGCCAAGAAAAAGGCAATCCCCTCTTCCAAATTGAGCAAACGACCCCGATAGGAAACTGAGACGGCCGCCGCAGTCCCTCATTCTACAAAACACGTCAAGAAATTGGCAAACAAAGGGCAACGAGAAATTCATGTCATCTCTAGCCAAACGACGGGAACAGCCACTCCCGATGCTTCTCCTTTTACCCCAGCCGTACGCATCCCGACAGTCGTGCAGCCGACTTCGACAGGTCAGGCACCCAAAGCTCGTCCTGACCCTCAAGTCGTGATTGGGCCAAGGACTGCTCCACTGGTCGAGCCAGCAACTCCTTCACCACCGGCCGAACCAACCATTTCTCTTCTGGTCGAGAAAATGACAGCTCTGGAGCCAATCGTTGCCCTGTCTTGGAGAAAATGACTTCGGTGGCGAAGAAAACACCCTCAAAGATTCCCAGACAATCAGCGATCATCTTGGAGGTATAATGTTGCGGTTGGTAATTTTCTTTTCAATTAATGTTAGAATTTCTAACAAACTTTATTCCAGGATGATGAGAGTGACGAAATTCCGTTGGAAAGTTGTCCTCGACCAACTAATCCTCTTCCTGCGGTCGAAATGATCGGCCAGGCTGATCCCCATGCGGCCGATCATGGAAAGGGTCTTACCGTTGAAACTGAAGCAACGGCGAAGACGCGAATTCATCCACATGATCAAAACCTAGGGATCCCTCCCCAGGAAACCACTTTTGCCTACGTAAGCACCCTTATTATTGTTCTCTTAATCAATCTCTTGCCTAAGAATTCTAAACCAGAAAAATATTAAATGTAAGGTGCTCGTGTTTTCGTTTCACCAAAAATTTTATGCACCAAGGGGCATTATCTATATCTCTTGGCCACCTCAGTGGTCGTCAAATGTAGATAACCTTCATCGGCCACGTGAATTGAGAAGTAGCTTAAAACATTGGGCTTGGCCATTGAGCTTTCTGGGTTCGAGAAACGAACCAGCAGACATGACCGAAGTTTCTTCTCGGCAGGTTTATCATTTCCTTCTTCTTATTTTCTGAAGATTTAGCTTATTCTGACGACTCATTTTCATGCAGCCTTCATGGGAAGTTGAATTTGACGCCCTTCTCTCGACCACTTCGGGGGCGGCTGGCCCCTCGGCGACCACAGCCGGGCCTTCCTCGACAGCCGAATACAACGTGCTTGTTAAGCTACAAGATACAAGAACTCTTTTCTCTTTCAGCTTCACAAATTCTTGAACGCAAGGGTCTCGACTTCATGGGTGAGTGTCTTAATGATCTCGCCGTTGAAGGTCTCTTGAATACTGAAGCCGTCACTCAAGCGTCTTCTACCCTAGAGCGAACCCGTGAGTTTTTTACCATTTTTGAAAAAGCTCTCCATGCCGAAGCTGACCTGACGGCTGCGACTGCTGCTCAAGATGCCATTCGCCCAAAAATTGAAGCCCTGAAGTCGAAGAAAGAGAAACTGGTCGACATGACCGCCAAATTGCCAAACTCCAAACTCAAAGGTCGGTAATTGCTTCTGATCTTACGAAAGACTTTGAGTCAGGCGGCAAATCTTGTTTAACCGAATACGCGGCTAAAGTCAAGGCAGTCGAGCAGCTAAAGATGGACAAGCGGAATCGGCAAGCTGAAGTCATAATGGGCGAAGTGAGATGGCTAGAGCTAAAGGCTGTTCTTGAAACTCTTCTCCCTTCTTCACCCTGAATTTATTTGAATGTAACCTGATCGACCTACTCAATCTGTGTATTCTTTTATCAATCTTAATGAAATGAATTTCTATTCCCGCATTTCCCATGTGACCGGATAATATTTCTTTAAAAACTTCCCATTGATTGGTAATCTATGAACTAAACTGGTCCGGTCTCTAAGATGATATGCGCCTTTGCCGAGAACCTTATGTATGACGAACGGCCCTTCCAAATTTGGCAACCATTTGCCGAACCTGGGGTTTTTAATTCCTACGGGCAACACCGTTTGCCAAACTAATTCTCCTTCGCCAAATGTTTTCTGTCTAACCTTTTGATTATAGGCTCGCTCAGCAATCTGTTTATGTGCCACCAACAAGTTATAAGCGTAAAGTCGCGCTTCTTCTAAATCTTCTAACTCCTGTCTCATGGACTAATTATATTCGACGCTGCATAGACTACTTTGTTCAATCATTTGCAATGAATTTATGCTTAACTCGACTGGTAACATTGCATCGTGTCCGTAGGTTAGTGCATACGAGGTTGTCCCGGTCGCCGATTGGAGTAATGTTCGATATGCCCATAAAGCCTCATTCAACTTTAAGTGCCACATGCCAGGCCTTTCCTTTATTATTTTCTTGAGAATATCGATCAACACTTTGTTACTCGCCTCGGCCTGCCCATTTGCTTGTGGGTAATACGGTGTAGACTGTTCAAGCCGAATTTTCAAACTTGCCGTATATTCTTTAAACCTCTCGGGTGTAAAAATTATGCCATTGTCAGTTATGATCGTTTCTGGTACGCCGAATCTAGTCACGATGTGTTCTTCCACAAAGTCGCAAACATCTTTAGACGTTAACTCAGCATACGATGTCGCTTCGACCCACTTAGTGAAGTAGTCGGTTGCTACCAATATCCATGCATGCTTGGCAGCCCCAAAAGATGGTGTGATTTTGCCGATTACGTCCATGGCCCATCCTCTAAATGGCCATGGTTTAGTAACTGAGTGTAATGACTCGGCCGGGACCCTTTGTATAGAACCATGAATCTGACATTGTATGCACCCTCGTGTGAACTCGATATAATCCTTTAATATACTTGGCCAAAAGTAGCCGTGCCGTCGAAGCAGCCATCGTATTTTACGTCCGGACTGATGAGCTCTGCAAATCCCTTTATGGACCTCTGTGATTGCCTAAGCAACCTTTTGGAGGCCGAGGCATAGCAGTAATAAACCATCCTCACCTTTTCGGTATAACACGTTTTGATACACAACATAATTTGTGGCATGAACTCTTGTCTTGCGATCGTGTTTGCCATTGGGGTTGTCAAGATACCGCATAATGGGCATTCGCCAGTCATCTGGTATTGCCTCGATGGCACAAACATCAATAGGGACTTGTCGGTCTAACAACGAAGGTAAAGACATGACTCTTGTGCGTATCACGTTATCGCGTCGGAGGACTTGCTGGTTAACTAAGGTTGGGTATAACCATCATAACACGAGTATTTCTCGGCCTAGCTTGCCCCTAGGAGTTGTGCACCAGAGGCGATTTGAGCAAATTCATCCGCGTCGGTGTTATGAATCTGAAAAATATGTTCAAAGGTAATACCGTCGAAGGATTCAGCCAAACAGCTGACAACCATGTGGTAAGGTGCCAGGGTACAACTCATGCACCGAAAAGAACCATTAAGTTGGTTAATCACAAGCTCGGAGTCGTCGAAGATGAGGGCATGGGTCACCCGTAAGTCGTGAAGGATACCAAGGCCGATGATAAGGGCTTCGTATTCGGCCTGATTATTTGTGCAATCAAAATCAAGTTTGAGCGAAAAGTACCACCGATCATGGTGTGGGGATTGAATAACAATTCCAGCACCAGCCGAAGATGAAGTACTCGAGCCATCAAAATACATCGTCCAGTAATTATTGCGCGTTTCAACCATGCCGATTTTGATGTCATTACCCCTGAAGCTATACGGTAAGGGATGGTGGGCGAGGAAATCAGCCAGTGCTTGACATTTAGCAGCTTTCTGGGGCACATATTGTAAGTTGAATTCGGACAGCGCCATTGTCCATTTCCCAATTCGGCGTTTTACTATTGGTCGAGTGAGCATGTAGCGGATGACGTCGGTCTGGGTAATGACTTGGGTGATCGATGGGAGCATGTCATGCCTAAGCTTTGATGTGGCGAAAAATAAAACGAGGCAAAGCTTCTCGACGGTAGAATAATTGATCTCCGGTTGGTTAAGATTTCGACTAAGGTAAAAAATGGCTTGCTCCCAGCCGATTTAGTTATCTTGCATTAGAAGACAACCGATGGATTCTTTGGCCGCCGAAATATATAGCTTGAGAGACTTACCGCGCCGAGGTGGGACGAGGACAGGGGGTGTTGTAAGGGAGACCTTGATTTTCGTAAAAGCTACCTGATACTCGTCACCCCACTCAAATTTGTCGGAGTCCTTAAGTTTCAACAACGTAGAAAACGCTTTCATTTTACCTGCCGAATTTGATATGAATCGGCGGAGAAAATTTATCTTGCCAAGTAAGGACTGTAGTTGCTTCTTCGTCGTCGGTGATGGGGCATTGATGATTGCACGTGCTTTATTTTCATCTACTTCAATCCCGCGATGATGCACGAGGAAACCTAAAATATTACCTGCGGACACGTCGAAAGCACATTTGGCAGGGTTCATTTTGAGGTTATGCTGGCACATGCGGAGGAAAGCCTGTCGTAGATATCTAGATGGGTCTGCCGGTGTTTTGACTTGATTACAACATCGTCAATGTATACTTCGACGATGGTGCCAATCAAATCATGAAAGATGGTATTCATTGCTCGTTGTTATGTGGCCCCAGCGTTCTTGAGGCCGAATGGCATGACAACCCATTCGTATGTGCCGAGTGCCCCCGAGTAGCGAAAGGCAGTCTTGTGGACGTTGGCTTCGACAATGAAAATTTGGTTGTATTCGGCATGTCCATCCATTAAAGATAAGATCGCATGATTCGCCGCAGCATCGATTAACAAATCTGAAATCAGCATTGGGTATTCATTTTTAGGAGTTGCCAGATTCAGATTTCTGAAGTCGATACAAATGCGCAAAGCACTAATGAATAAAGGTCAAGGGTCATCAGCCGTCCCAACATTAATTTCCTCCAACGGGTCCTTGACTTGGGGCCGATTATCTTCGAGCTCGACCGGGATAGCTTGAATTTGGTCGAGAGACAAGGTATGACCATTATCTCCTTCAATGAGGAACTCTATAAGATTAACGCCTGAATGTGGTTGCTTAGATATAGTATTCCAATGAGCCAATAGTCGTTCCATAGTAGATGAAACCGCGGCCCGACATTTTTCCTGATCGGTGTCAAACATCGGGATTAGAAATGAAGGCGGCTAACCCGAGTCTCACCGAATCCTAGTGTATAGTTTTGGCGCCAACCTCGATAGCCTTCTGAACAGAAATCTGAGTCGACCGTCCTTCATCATTGAAACCTTGTAGGGTGATGTAGCCGACATAGTCATCATAATATCGTGCTTGGATCATGTTAGCTTCGAAGGGCTGATCATCAGCCGGATGAACGATAACCGATTTACCGTCCCAAAAGATGAGCACTTGATATAATGATGAAGGGATATAGCTTGTTTGATGAATCCAATCTCGACCGAGTAGTGCATTATACTCGATCTTGGAGTCGACGATGAAGAAGGCGTTCATGTGATTACGACCGGCAATGTTTACCTCTAAAAAAATCACCCCTTTGGTTTGGGATTTGTCTCTGACAAAACTGCTCATGGTGATCCCCGATGGAATAAGTTCATTGTTAGAGCAACGTAACACCTTCATGATATTTACAGGCATGATATTGACAGTGGCTCCACAGTCGATAAAAACTTTGGAGACTAGATATCCTTCGATATGGGCCGTTACATACAATGGCTTCAAATATTGAAGACTAGTCGAGGAAGAACGGGGAAACAAGATGTCCAAGGCTGTTTTAAGTTTATCATCGTCATTAGTAGACTCATCTTCAGGAGTAATGATGAAATCAACATGTGTTGCCTCCTCGGCGACCACATTGCCGTCCAAGGAACTTGGTTGGTGTGTAGTCAATTGAAATTCGGCAGGGAGGACATGGACCATGCTGATTTCCATATTTTCAAAGACTGAATGGCCCATTGGATCCTGGTCGTCATCTTCCGGAGTGAGGAGAGCTATATCATTGTGTGTTGGAGCATTAGCAGTCAATTCGCAGTGTGTCTCAACATATTCAGGCGTTTGTGTCCCACAATCCGACGCTGTATCCTATTGATTGTCGTCTTCGGACTTGCATGCATCTGGCATCGGATTCTGATCCTGCCGTATTTGGTGAGCTTGTTCTTTATAGGCGATCTGGGCGTTCCTAATGTCCAGGTAAGCGTCCAGACGTGCCACCGTTCTGTCTCATTGGCCATTAAACCGAACAAGGAAACAGCCGAAAAAACTTCGAAGTGATATCAAAGGTGTTGAAGGTCGTCGAGAGAAAAAAGAAGCTCGGCTGTGTCAATGTCCGTGTATAGATTGACCTCAAAGCCGAGAACCCTAGGCTCTCGAATGTGCTGGAATCTGGCTTTCATCGCCGAATAGGTGGTTTTTTGGATGATCTGCTCAGCATCAGGGCAAGTTAATGCCAAGTCAAGAGCTTCTTGGCAGGCCTTGGGCAACCCATATAAATCATTGGCGGAATATGTCTTGTGAAATTCTTTCATATATTCTAATGATTCACCGAGGAATGGGGGATGCAGATTCCGTTGAACTTTGATTAGAGGTTCTTTCAACAGTAACGGAGGCAGTTGGCTTTCGGCTTCTTTCTTAAATTGCTTGAAACGAGCTTTCATTTCATTGGGCCGAAGAAGAAGCTTGATGCGCTTCTCGACTGCTTCAATGGTAGTTTCGAAGTCCCAATTAGTTTCATTCTGCCCTTGTAATTCAGCCATGATTGTTAGGGTTAGCCGATCATCTCTACTTTCTATCGTCTCTTTTGGCTGCCATTTAGTGGCTGAGACAGGCTGGGTAGCTTGTCGTCGAGCCAAGCAATCTATACGCTGATGTCGACGTTTTTGGGATTTAGATAGCGCGGTATACATGCCGGTAAGAGAATTGTAGTTGTACCAACGTTGGTCACATGGTTCAGATGGCCTGAAGGTTTTTTGATTTGCTGATGAGCTTGAACTACTGGAATTGCAGGAATAATAGTCCTCGTTGTTAAACGGTGCGTCGAAATCAAGGCGCCGTCTGACCGATGTAGGTCCATCTGTTTGTTTTCTTGGGCCGAGCCTGTAGAATACTTTCTAGCGCTGGCCTTCACTAGGTTTCTTTGAAGGTTTTGCTATAATCGCCGATTGGTGTTGTGATGTTGGCATCTGTATCGGACATAGTTTCCTATTAGGTTCGGTCAATACAACGTGTGCCTTACAATTGCTACATAGAACTATCGGCCTGCCATTCCCATCTTCGCTGGAGTCTGACATGGGCTCAACTATGGCAGGTCCTGAGAGTTCGGTGGGTGGTGCATTAGAAAACAAGTCGATCTTGAGTCGAGGTGGGGAACCTTTCTTTAGGATCTGTGGTACTATTGGCCTATCATTTCTTCGTTGTTGTAGTGCGACATTGGTTCGACTATGGCTAGTCCTGATAGCTCGGTAGGTGGCGCGTTGGAAAATAGATCTATCTTGAGTCGAGGCTGGGAGCTTTGCTTCCGGATGTGTTGTACTGGGGTAAATTTGACCTTCTCTTTTCCTGTGCTTTTGGCAAGCGGGCGTCTACCATGCTGACTGTCACTGAAGGGAATGGATCTGTATCAACCGTCATGTGTTTTTTAGAAAACTTTAGCTTGCCTTTGTCAATCCAACTTTGGATATCATCACGAAATACGACACAATTGTTTGTGGCATGCTTGGTCGAGTTATGATATTTTCAATATGTCTTTACTTTAAGCTCCTCGGTCGTGGGAATGTTATGCCCTGGCCGAAGCTTGATGATTTTGGCTGATAGCAATTGATCAAAATTGCTTCGGCCTTTGTAATATCAAAGGTGTAAACTTTTGAAGTCTTCGTTGTTCTTTCTGTGGTTGAGCGAATTTTGGCATCCTTGGAATTAATTTGAGTCAACGCCTTGCAAATGTATGGCTTATCTATTACTATCTCGACCGCGTCCACGGTAATGTACCGAGACTCTTCGCCTTTGATCGATGCATAACTAACTGTGGGATTTTTGTATATCGTCCCCGGGGATGGGGATGTCGAGATCTTCTCTTCTCAAAGAAAATAATCATATTGCTCGACATGCTGGGCTAGTTCATACATATCCCGAATGTTTGCCCCTAAGAATTTCTTTTTGTATTCCACATCGAGGCCGTTCAGAGCGAGTCTGAAAAATTCGACTTCGGGTAGAGGCACTCAGCACCAATTCCTGGCCGATTTGAATCTGGTAAGATAATCCATTAGTGACTCATCAGATGCTTGAGCTATCATTGCTAATAAAGAAACTGACATTTCCATCCCTGACCGATAAAATTGCTCGTGAAATTTCTCGACCAACTTATCCCAACTTTGGATGGAATTAGGACGGAGGTTAATATACCAGGCAAATGCTGAGCTGGTCAACGAAAAGTTGAACAGCCGTAGCTTATGAAAGTCACAATTAACATCTCCGCATTGCGCGGTAAAACGAGCCACATGTTCCAACAAAGACAAGGATGATTCACCGGCAAAAAGGCTAAAATCTGGGATTTCAAAACCTTTAGGGTATTTGAACTGTTCCACATAAGCTGGATACGGATGGATAAATTTAGGGAACTCCGACCCTTTTTTCATGGTCGAATCGATCATCCGCTAAACCTCGGTCATATCAATGGGTGTGGCTTATACTCTATGGTCGGATCTGCCTAACCTACTATTCGATCCTCCTCCTTTTTCTGAGTCTATTGGTTTGAGCCGAGCAGGGATTGACTCAGCCTGTACGATTGGTGACAGATTATTTCTTGGTGGCAAGTGCTGGAAAAGATCGAAAGACCTGCTGTCGCTGACCTT